ATTACCCCCTTATAGGTCAATGGTGTCAGTGGGAAGAAATTGCTCATCGCTCAAGGAACCCCCCCATCAACCTTTGGAGGAACTCTAGCATTCCATGGAACTCAGCCTGAGAAACCCTTGACTAACCCCTTCCACATGAGCCATTTACTCTTCTTTTTGGACTAATTTCCTTTTTTAAACATAAATGATTATTATTTCATGTAGGAAAAACAGACAGTAAATGCAAACAGAATCTGGAGTCACGACAACCTTTGTTGGGAAAACCAAGTAGGTGTGCGTATTTAATGGCATAGTGCAAAGAGCAACGATGCCATAGCAACCAATTTCAGAATCAAAGCTCTGCTGTTATCTGTGTGGTTCTGAAATCTATAGACCTGAAATGACAGTCATCTGCTTTCAACCTCATGTCTATGGCAAGACCATGACCTTGGCCAGCCAGCCAGTCAACTTACCGCAGTCAATGGCAGTAAGCAGTCTGGTAGAACCCCTATGCTGACAGCTATTGTTCCTCCTGATGAGCTGGCTCTGGTTTCCTGTTCTTTGCTTCTTGTTCTTCCTTTTTCTCAGTGATAAACATTTATATATCTTGCTCCATACACAGTTTTCCCCGAGGATAACCAGATCGTGCAGGCGTGAAAGCTATTGGCAGCTTTAGACTATTCATGTCTAATCTGCATTTGGTGACCAGGGTTTACCGCACATTTATTGTTCTTTGTATTATGGAATAAGCCCGATTACTTATTCATTTTGGGTAAGATAAGTTCATCGGGGACAGAAATATGTGCTGTATGCTTCCATAACAACCTGCTACCAAGCTACAAGACAAAGAAGAGAATGTGTTGTGTATGTTAGTTCTAATACCAGCTCTACACAATCTCTAAGCTGCAGCTCAAACTTCCAAGTAAATGTCAATTCCACCAAGCTGGGCACTGCTACTCCCAATACTCTGGAAGCGCTGCTACAGGGTATCCTTGAGTTTGTTACCTCTGACTAAGCAGAGAGAACCCTGACTGGACTGCTTTTGTATTTATGCTTGTAAATATATCTTTTTGTGTTCAAAAAACCCTCAACGTCCCACTATCTAAATGTTCCTGTGCTTGGTGGATGAAGCCTAGGCCAAGTATAAACTAACCTAAAAAGCTATGTCCCCTCCAAATCAATTTAAGGCTCAACTCCAAGCAAATCTATTTTTTTAAAATACTTTCTTCGCTCCCCTCTCTAACCCAATGTTTCTTACCCAGGGTGCCATCTAGGTTGCTGGGACCCAGTTTGGCCATATTCAAGGAGGGGGGGTTGCTTTCATATATTGGGGATTGAAGGGGAGACCTCCAACATGTTGAGGGGACCTCTGGTGTGAAGAGGGACCTCTGATGTGATGGGGACCTCCAACAAAAGGGACCTCTGATATTATGGAGGGCTTCTGAAGTCAGGGGGGTTTTTGATGTGAAGGGAGGACTTCTGACGTGATGGAAGGCCTCTGGTGTGAAGGGGGACCTCTGATGTAATGGGGAACCTCTGACATGAAGGGGGGTAGTCTGATGTGCAAATAAATTTATATAGGAGGGGGAAAGACCCTCTCTGAGAAAAAGTGGTTACTTCTTAGGACTAAATTGGCATATACCCATGTAAAATTATTTTAATTATTTATTGTATACATTTTTAAAAAGTTGCATACACAATACAAAATATGAATTTAACGTATTAAATAACACTCACTATCACCATCCTCAGACAACGTTGTCTACCATTACCATATTCACTCAAAACACGTAGCATACACAGCGGCCACTAAGAGGGATAGATGGGTTTGTGACGATTCACCTCAGTGAAACTTAGGGATAATATAAATGTTGGTCTGTATTTAAGTTCACCGTGGATAGAGATGTAAGGAGGTACTATAGTTATGCGCAGTCCGGATAAACAATATGCCAAATCCTATTGTATGTAGATGCAATCACACATTGCATGGCATCTAACACTGTGGCTAATAGGTATGATGACTGTCCATCCATTGATTGAGTATGGCTTGCAATACTGTGACCAGTATCTGTGGTATACACCTACAGCAAAAAGGAATCAACCATGTGGATATCACCTGCAGTAGCCTCAAAAAATACAATTCCAATGGAAACAAGCAGTCACATAATTTGATACCAGCAAAACGCAGATCAAGGAGAGAGACATCTCACTCCCACCACTGCATTTGTAAACTTCAGCCCCTAAATGCTTATACAGCGATGACCATCCATGCAGACTGTGTTCAGCTACAGGAATCACATCACATATACGGGGAGGGAGATACAGTTGGTGAGTGTATTGGAGCGATCTCACCTGTCGGCATCTTCTGATTTCTCATATTTCTGTGTGTTACCTGTAAATTCCATATATCACAGTCCGACCTGCTGCCAGATGTATGCCATTGCTCCTAAAGAATCTTCCTACACTTTATCATCACATATACCTGATGGTATTTAATTGTAAGTCCTCCGCCATCTAAGAAATTTCAAGTCCAGCTCCCATAAGTATCTAGGGGCCACGTATGCTGTCACTGACATCGTGATGTCAACATGTTTCGCGATGTGCGTACTTTCTCAGCTTTGCCAGGACCCTGAACTACACTATATTGCCAAAAGTATTGGTCGGCCTGCCTTTACACGCACATGAACTTTAATGGCATCCCAGTCTTCGTCTGTAGGGTTCAATATTGAGTTGGCCCACCCTTTGCACCTATAACAGCTTCAACTCTTCTGGGAAGTCTGTCCACAAGGTTTAGGAGGGTGTCTATGGGAAGGTTTGACCATTCTTACAGAAGTACATTTGTGAGGTCAGGCTCTGATGTCGGACGAGAAGGCCTGGCTCGCAGTCTCCGCTCGAATTCATCCCAAAGGTCTATGGGGTTGAGGTCAGAACTCTGTGCAGGACAGTCAAGTTCCTCCACCCCAAATTCACCCATCCATGTCTTTATGGACCTTGTTTTGTGTACTGGTGCGCAGTCATGTTGGAACAGGAAGGGGCTATCCCTAAACTCTTCCCACGAAGTTGGCATGAAATTGTCCAAAATGTCTTGGTATGCTGATCCCTTCACTGGAACTAAAGGGCCAAGTCCAACCCCTGAAAAACAACCTCACACCATAATCCCCCTCCATCAAACTGTACACTTGGCACAATGCAGTCAGGCAAGTACCGTTCTCCTGGCAACCACCAAACCCAGACATGTCCATCGGATTGCCAGACAGAGAAGAGTGATTGATCACTCCAGAGAACACGTCTCCACTACTCTAGAGTCCAGTGTATTACGCCACTGCATCTGATGCTTTTCATTGCACTTGGTGATGCTTGGATGCAGCTGCTCGGCCATGGAAACCCATCCCATGAAGCTCTCTACGCACTGTTGCTGTGCTAATCTGAAGGCCACATGAAGTTTGGAGGTCTTTAGTTATTGACTCTGCAGACAGTTGGCGACTTCTGCGCACTGTGCGCTTCAGCATGATCTCACTCTGTCATTTTACGTGGCCTGCCAATTGGTGGCTGAGTTGCTGTAGTTCCCAGTTGCTTCCACTTTGTTATAATACCACTAACAGTTGAGCGTGGAATATTTAGTAACAAGGAAATGTCACGGATGGACTTATTGCACAGGTGGCAACCTATCACGGTACCACGCTTGAAATCACTGAGCTCCTGAGAGGGACCCATTCTTTCACAAATGTTTGTAGAAGCAGTCTGCATGTCTAGTTGCTTGATTTTATACACCTGTGGCCATGGAGGTGATTGGAACACCTGAATCCAATGATTTGGAGGGCTGCCCCAATACTTTTGGCAATATAGTGTATGATTACATCTAAATACAATAGGATTTGGCATATTGTTTATCCGGACTGCCCATAACTACAGTACCTACTTACATCTCTAATCCACGGTATAGTGGATAGGAACTTTAATACAGACCAGCAATTATATTATCCCTAAGTTTCATTGAGGTATAGATGGGTTTATGGAGATTCACGTCCTTCTCTATTCACCTCGTAGTGGCCACTATGTATGCTATGTGTTTTGAGTGAATGTGGTAGTGGTAGACAACGTTGTCTGAGGGCTGGTGATGGTGTTATTTAATTTGTTAAATTCATATTTTGTATTGTGTATGAAACTTTTTTAAAAATTATAAATAATAAAATAATTCAAATAATGATACATGGTTATATGCTAATTTAGTTCTAAGAGGTAAACTCTTTCTCAGGGGGGGATATTCACTCCTCCTATATAAATGTATTTGCAGTTCTTTTTAGTTATATAGAACTACACCTAAAGAGGTGTGGGCACCCCATGGAATAAAAGCTACATAGTTGGCACATTATTTTGGGTGCTCTAATGTGATGGTGAACCTCTGATGTGAAGGGGGACCTCCAAACTGATGGGGGACCTCTGATATTATGAAGGGCCTCTGATGTGAAGGGGGGGGCTCTCATGTGATGGTGGGACCTCCGACATGATGGGGGATCTCTGACATGATGGAGGGCCTCTTATGTGATGGTGGGACCTCTGACATGATGGGGGACCTCTGTAATGATGGAGGGCCTCTTATGTGAAGGGGAGCTCTAATGTGAAGTTAATTTCATTAAGATGGTTGTGTGTATCGTCCTAGGTTCAGGTTTCCCATTGATAACATTTACATTTTGGACTGGGGTACCTCCAGATTGCATACTTTTGAAGGGTGCTGCGACTGAAAACAGGTTGAGAAACACTTCCTAACCCTTCCTTCCAGGTGTAAATTTGATTTATACTTTGATCCTCAAATTGGGCTTTAACAAAAGTTGGCAGTCCTGGTTAAGTTTGATTGCCTTTGATAACTAAAGTATGTTTCTTCTTCTTTTCATCCACACCTTTCGTTCACACGGCTATGTATCATTTATGATATACCGCATTGTTTTATGTTTGCTGTACTGTCTACTGTTGGGGGGAGGGATTGGCTCCATGTATGTCTGTGTACACCCCCAAGTAAATGATTACCCTGAACTTCCCCTTACTGGTTTTATCATGTTCTCCGCTCCTTTAGATTTCTGTGGCTGAGGACTGCTGTCTTTGCTGCCTCCGCCAACTTCTCCTGCGTCCACTCCGCTGTCCTCGCTCAGAGTCTGCCCGCTGTCAGAGAGCTGGGAGAGAGAGGCCGGGGGTGAGACGGGCAAGACGGCTGCAGAGGAAAAACAGGTCATATCAGTACATTTGTAAAGAAGAATGACAGGTATGACATACTAAGATCTTTGACCTTCTATTCATTATCTATTCATTATCATTATCATTATTCATTATCTATTCATTATTCTATCCATTATCAATAATAAAATGCAACATTTTCATCAAAGATAATTGTCATTAAAAGGAGAACTCCACCTTTGTCAAATAATATATCTATTGCCTGTAAAATTGATACACAAGCCATTTTGTAATTCAATGGTTTTAAAAATTTACCTTTTTCAATTTGCAGCCACTGTCATTTTTTAAAAGCGTTAAAAAAAAAATTCAATACAATATGGCAACCTGGAGACATTCTGTACACCACTGGTATACAGAACGCTCCCAGAAATGTAATTGCCTTCTTCTATGTGTAGAGCTACCCTCGTGAGGGCCTCTGTGTTGTGGGCATCTCTAAGCTTCTCTGCACAGCCAGGCAACAGGTATTTCTCACACAGACTTGCATCCAAAGACAGTGACCATTCCATGAACTTGATTTTATTGTTTATCAGGGGATTTCAACTTGGATAGGAAAATAGGGATTATGGGATGCCCAATTTTTGGCTTGAAACAATGGAAGGGGGACACTTCTCTCCTATGTATAAATCAGATCCTGGACTGTTCTTTTCTTGAAAGCCGTCAGTCGATGTTGATCAGTAGCAGGTGCCTCTCAAAAATCACTTTACTTCTTGTAGCTACATGCAAGGACATCTTCTCCCCCCCCCCCTCCCCATACAGCTGCTCCCAGCCTGAAGGCATTACCAGCCCTCCTGGCTTCTCGGAAGATCTACCTGATCAAGGATAAAGGAGTGAGCTCAATGTTGTCATTGGAAAGCTTGCTGTAGCAGTCTTTACCCTTGTAGATCCCAAGTGTGCTGCTGTACTCACACTACCCTCTTTGCTCCCTGCTGCTCCAGGCCTGATCCCATCCATGCCTCTCTGCCGAGTGTATCCTCCTGAACCAACCCGAGCCCAGACTAGAGGCCCCCTCCTAGACTCCGACAATCTCCTCAGCCCTCCATCTTCCACCTGACTCCTCTGTCAGCCTGACTCTCTCATATTTATAGGCCGAACCACCACTCTACCAAGGCCTCCAAACCTGGGATTGGCCAGACCCTCTATGAATATGCAGATTAGGCCTCCACCCCCTCCTTCTCACTGACCTCTGGAAGGTTCTATGGTCCTCCAGAGTCAGGAGCAGAGGCGAACTGACCATTTGGAAACTCGGCACCCGCCCGAGGGCCCAGGGTCAGTAGGGGGCCCCAAGAGATGCCCCTGGTACCTTTTTTATAGGCTTTTTAGAGTTTGGGCAAGGACACAGGGGCCCCATGATCCCCTATTGCCCGGGGGGCCCCTATGAGTTGTCAGTCCGCCCCTGATCAGGAGGAGGCGATAGAGCCCAAAACCTGTAGAGTCATGCAGCTGACCTGCACTAACCCAACCTTAATCACATGACCCACACAACTACCATGAGTCACCACAATGATTTTACCATTTTATCATTCATTACAATAGTCTAGTAGCACACTCGAGGGTGCTACATATGATTGGCCCAATGTTTTTCTAAGATTTCTACACAAAGATACAGGTAAAATATTAGGCATCCTCTGCAATAGAAGTGTAATTTTTGGTACGATACCCCCTAAAGGCTCTTTCACCGGTGGCAGTCTTTACCACTGATGGATCGCTTCTCAGAGAGAGGTAGGTCAGTGACTACAAGGAAGCAATCCTGCCACCTACTAAATGCATGTTTTTACATTTTTTTAAAAATAATTCCCAGGGGGGAGTTTGTATTGAAATGTCACAACTGCAGCCCAACCAGTTGCCGTCTGTCAAACTCTGCAAAGTGAGTTAAATTTGCCGTGGCATGTGTACTACGCCCTCCGGCTGCCTTGTTAGGATTTAGGTGGTTGGTCAGGGTAGTAAAAATGTGGATCAACTGCCTGTTTTTACTGTCCCCTTGCCACCTGTGTAAAGTGGCCCTAAAGGTTAACTACTTCTAAGGCATGCAGATGATTGTAAAGAAGGCTGACCCTCCCATTCAGGACATGGATCGAATTCCAAACAAATTTTCTTTAGAAAATTGGAAATTTCATGCATCTTGTAATCTGATGTTGCCACCATTTATTGTGAGATTCAACCAACCAAGCCTTTAATTTCACCTCGTGTTGCAACAGAAAATAATTTTCGTGGCTGAGAATCTTCTTTTCTTTCCAGTTCGCAGCTCAGCACATTTCTTTTTTGATTATATTTCACGCACGATTCTCACATCATCGATTAGAAATTCATCTATTTTTCAAAAAATGTCCAACATGCCCGATCACTCAAATTCAATGGCCTCACGAAAATCGCCCAATGTTGTGGCCCACTAGTGGTGTGAAATTCGAACAAAAATTCTTAGTTATGATTCTCGTAAGAAAATTATTTTGGAATTCCACCCATATATGGCCTGCATTAGTCTGGAAAGGACATGGTGAAACAAACAGAATTTTCTTCAGAACAGGAAAAAGTAGGAATCTGCAATGGATGTTAAATCCCTGCAATGTAAATGTATATGATCTCCAGGGGGAACGTCTTCAGTTCTTCAGCCCCCCCCCTCCCCCGCCAAAATAAATGATAAATCAGCATCTACAAATACTGCTGGTTCTTTGCCAGACATCAGGTCCCCAGTGCCACCATTCTAACATTGGGAAGCTGGCTATGACTCCTTGCAGCTTTGCAGCTGGCTCCCCATTGCGCATGCCTGAGCTAGGGTTGAAGTTCTTCTTTAAGTCATATGGGCTCCCCTGTTTTTTTTTTGGTCTGTTCTTTTCTTTTATCTGTAATTTGTACTTGCCCACCCAGTGAATCCTGCATTGTACTGCTGTCCTGCTAATTGCACGCCAGGTCCCATGCCACCATCTCCCTCTATGATGTGATTGGGAGCAGGCTGTCTCCTCCAGGTTCCTGAAGCCGCCCCGTGATGACATGCCACCAGGTCCACCCTACTCCTGCTGCTCTCTCTGTAAACAGAAGCCTCCTGAGATATCTGACATGGATAACCCAGGAGGCTGCTGGAGCAGAGCACACATCATTCTTGCTTAGGCAAGATTTGAGGGTGGGGGGGCTAGCTGGACCAAAAAAAAAAAAAAAATTCACAAAATAAAATCGGCTTTAACGATTGCAGGATTCAGATGATACAAATGCATTAGGGGAGTGAAGGTCTTCTTTATTGTTACTGCGGTGATGGTAAGAGAGACATGGGCTGCTGGAGAGATGAGTATAACAGGTCTTCTATTGCAGGGAACTGGCCTTTTAATTTTTATTTTTTTTAAAAGGATCTTACAGGTTTTCTTGTAGACACATATCTGACAGCTGACACATTGACTTCCAATGACAGTAGGATTTACAGTGAAGGATGCGGACACAAGTATAAAATACTTCAGGCTGGTAGGTCTGGACTACCTGTTCTCTTCTCACTGTAAGAATGTTCATCCTAATAAAAATTGTTCTGTTTAGTGATTTCTACTGCTCAGGGTCCTGATTTTCAACCAACAGCAGCATTTTGGAACTCTGCAATCTCTTTATTAGTATAAATCTCAATTTATGGCATACAGCCTGATGACCACACAAAACCTGAACACACAAAACATCAAAATGATTTAAAATAATGGTTTCATGGCTGAACGGTGGTCTGGTTATTATTTTTTCTGACTTCTTCCACAGCTATGCAATTATCCAGTATAACCAAAAGAGGGCGCTGTTCACTAATAATGGATTTAAAAAGCTGCCCTTTATCAAGGCTGGATGATTCCATTGAGGCTTCTAATCATTTGTAATGAAAACTAAGCTTGGAAATCTCTACTCTCGTTTGAACTTGCCTGATTTGTACTATTTCCTATCATAAATATCTGACACAATTTGTGCAAAATTCCACTGTGACCTTTATTATGAAAAATAATTATATAGTCTTTTAAAATTATATATATAGTCTGAGCAGCCAAACAAATCTATGTTATTGAGGCTTGTTCACACTTGCGCCCATCATTGCCACCTTTCTGAAAAGCAAACTGCGCTAGAACGGTTTTCAGAGCTATTTGACAAGCAGTTTCCGAGGCGATATGCTGCCTCCTCATTGCCTATTTTAGTGCTTGAAAGCCCACAGCAGTGCAACCACATGCATTACACATGGTCATAGGGAGGTTGCGGCATGGCCCCATGGGCTTTGGCAGCAATACTGCAACATAATGTTGCCCTGTGTCCGAGGCAGTGTGTTATAACATCACCTGTGACCATATTAACTTGCGATTTGGTGGTGGCTCAAGCCCCTATTGTTGCTACCCTTATAAATGAGGCCTTAGTGTGGCATTAAGAGTTTTACTTGAAGGTAGCCCTGTCTGTAGTTAGACAAGAATATATACAAGTCCATAATGTTTGCTGGCCCAGTAGCTCAGATTTTTACCTACTGAAATGAATATGTGTGACACCTATTGCAGGGGGTATGGTGGTGGGGCATAGTCATTAGGACCATGGGTTCACACTACTGCACAGAGCTAATGCAAATTGGTACACATTTACCAATGCACCTGCATTGCAGTGCACCACAGTGGTGTGCTGGCTTATATAAAATGGTGCACATAGCTTTTTTTTGTGTGTATTTTGGTATGCTTATCAGCACAATTGAATGGACTGCCTTAACCCACCGCGCGCCAATGGGCTGCCTTAACCCACCGCGCGCCAATGGGCTGCCTTAACCCACCGCGCGTCAATGGGCTGCCTTAACCCACCGCGCGTCAATGGGCTGCCTTAACCCACCGCGCGTCAATGGGCTGCCTTAACCCACCGCGCGTCAATGGGCTGCCTTAAAGTAGAAATCTGGGCTAAAATTATGTCATCATAAAACTGCTCTCACCCCCCTCCTAACATCTATACCAACTACCATGTAGAAGAAAGATACTTATACTTACCTGTTCTGAGGGTGCTCTGGTCCAGTCAAGTGACCTCCTCAGCGCTGGCTACAGGGGAGAGGAGAGAGCACCAACAACAGATTGGATGCCTGAGTGGTGACGTCACCCATAGGCTTACTATTGGCTATCCGTTGTCAGCACTCCCTCCTCTTCCCTGAAGCACCTGCTAGCTGAGAAGAGCCGATTAATGTGACTGGACTGGAGCACCTTAAGAAAAGGTAAGTATATGCATCTTTCTTCTACAGGATAGTTCGTATAGGGAGCAGTGTTAAGATTAGATATGTGTTGGGTTAAAGTAACTAAATCCTGGACCCTGCATTCACTATATCTGGTCTCCCCGGACCCTGCATTCACTATATCTGGTCTCCTTGGACCCTGCATTCACTATATCTGGTCTCCCAGGACCCTGCATTCACTATATCTGGTCTCCCCGGACCCTGCATTCACTATATCTGGTCTCCCCGGACTCTGCATTCACTATATCTGGTCTCCCCGGACCCTGCATTCACTATATCTGGTCTCCCTGGACCCTGCATTCACTATATCTGGTCTCCCAGGACCCTGCATTCACTATATCCGGTCTCCTCAGACCCTGCATTCACTATATCCCGTCTCCTCGGACCCTGCATTCACTATATCCGGTCTCCCACAGTACACAGAACATGGAAGTGCAATTATTTTAGTAAATATAAACTGCTAAATACCTTTTCTCATCAGCAGTTAGAGCAGTCTTGTGACTTCTATCAGTGTTCAGCAGAGCACTGGTTAAAGCTTGTAGAAGGCGTATTCATTCTCCCCTAATTGTCTTATGATAATGCATAACCCCTGACCCTCTGTCTGGACAGTGCTGATTGGCTCTGTGCTGATCACATGCACTCTCCCAAGAAACAAAACAAACCTCTAGCAATACACATCAAACTGAGCATGTGCAGCTTGCTCCTAAGGCTCTGATCTATCTAGATGGAATGGGGACAGTAGGAGGGGGGAGGATCAGAGAAGACAGGATCCTTTTTACACAATGTGAAGGATTAACCCCTTTAGGTTCCACAGTGAGTATAACAAGCATGCTGTACTGCATATACAGACTGATTTTATTGTTGTGGGTTTAGTAACACTTTAACCCAAGCACGTTAACACAACTGTGTGAATCAAGTCTATTTATATATATATATATATATATATATATATTGTACATTCACATCAGTCCCTCCTAACCCTCAAGGGGTGTAAAATCTAAGGTCCCTAACTTACATTCATACAAACACATACTAGGGGAAAACTTAGACAGGAGCCAATTAACCTACCAACATTTCTTTGGAGGGTGGGAGGAAACTGGAGTACCTGGAGGAAGTGCACGCAGGCACAGGGAAAACAGGCAAACTCCAAGCAGGTGGTGCCGTGGTTGAGATTCGAACTAATGACCCTAGTACTGCCAGGTGGAAGTGTTAACCACTGCGTATTAGAAGAACAGAAGCAGAGAACCCTGGGTGGCAGCGACCATGTAGATGACAGGATGGTCAGAGTATTGCAATGCTACAACATCTATCTCTTTCACCTAACTAAATATTTTGATTATCCTTATATACATAGTTACATAGTTAGTCTGGATGAAAAAAAAGACAAAAGTCCATCCAGATCAACCATTAAAAAAAAAGTTATAATCTTACACCCACAGTTGATCCAGAGGAAGGCAAAAATCCCAGCAAAGCATGATTCAATTTGCTCCTGCAGGGAACAAAAATTCCTTCCTGATCCCCTGAGAGGCAAACGGATATTCCCTGGATCAACTTTACCTATAAATGTTAGTATCCAGTTATATTCTGTGTATCCAAGAAAGAATCCAGGACTTTTTTAAAACAATCCACTGAACTGGCCAGAACCAACTCTTGAGGGAGTCTATTCCACATTTTCACAGCTCTTACAGTGAAGAAACATAAACCAATTTAATTGATAGTGGCGCGCTCATAAATTGCTAATAAAACATATAAAAATTCTATCTCTCAAGAAAAATATATAATATAAAATATAAATAAATAATCTCTATCCGTGTAATTATTGATGATAAACTTCCATTGTGATAATGTGATATACAAAAAGATGGCTGCGCCCAGAGGTACTTCAAGAAAATGGTGGATAATCACTATATAAGGGAATATGGGTATAGTGAACGTCCAATCAAATCCCCCTGATGAAGCTGCATCACCTGCAGCGCAACGCGTAGGGGAGGGGCTACGATGTCACCCGGCACCTAAGGACAGCGAGTACATTCAGTGAACGGCGGACGCGCAGGCTGTTACTGATCGTGGATGTTTTTAAAAAAACGCTTGTTATTTAATATTACATGTGAGTGCATATGGGCACATATTAAAGATTTACTATATTTGGAAGATAGGGCACTATGTCTATATCTTTTTTATACTGAGGAATACTCTAAAGAGCAGATTGAGCAAGAGATCCCTGCAGTGATACTGATAGGAGAGCCACGTTGGAACAGAAATTGGGAGATATTCACCACTACTGCTATGGTGCAATACATGATTTATAGTTCCATTTGAGGAACAAAAGCTGGTTGAGCCTTTTAGAAGGCTTTATATGAGGTGAGCGCATATAGAGAATATAATAAGTCACCGGGAATTGCGATTTCACATTTTGGATTTGTCACTTTCATCACTAGAGACTGTTTTTTTGATCACCTTTTTATTGGATGTATATCACATTATCACAATGGAAGTTTATCATCAATAATTACATGGATAGAGATTATTTATTTATATTTTATATTAATATTTTTCTTGAGAGATATATTTTTATATGTTTTATTAGCAATTTAGGAGCGCGGCACTATCATTTAAATTGGTTTATGTTTCACACACATTGTTTGAGTATGTGTTTGGTGCTGACCAACCTTGTTTAGGTTAGGTAGTGGCTCACAAGTTATTTAATTATTTTATCTTACAGTGAAGAAACCTTTTCGTGTTTGGAGATTACATTTCTTTTCCTCCAGACGTAAAGTGTGCCCCCTTGTCCTCTGTGATGACCTCAGGGTGAATAGCTCTACACCGAGTTCACTATATGAACCACTGATGTATTTATACATGTTGATCATATCCCCCCTTAATCTCCTCTTCTCAAGAGAGAATAAATTCAGTTCCTCTAATCTTTCCTCATAGCTGAGCTCCTCCATGCCTCTTATCAGTTTGGTTGCCCTTCTCTGTACTTTCTCCAGTTCCCCAGTGTTCTTTTTGTGATTGGTGCCCAAAACTGAACTGCATATTCCAGATGAGGTATTACTAATGATTTGTACGGGGGAAATTATATCTCTCTTGCTGGAGACTATACCTCTATTAACCACTTCAAGTCTGGACACTTTTACCCCCTTCCTGTCCAGGCCAATTTTCAGCTTTCAGTGCTATCACACTTTGAATGACAATTGCACGGTCATGCAACACTGTACCCATATGAATTTTTTACCATTTTTTTGAGACAGATAAAGCTTTATTTTGGTGGTATTTATTCACCACTGGGATTTTTATTTTTTTTGCTAAGTAAATGAAAACGTCCAAAAATTTTGAAAAAAAAAAGTGTTTTTCTTATAAAATTTTGCAAATAAATAATCTTTCATCATAAATCTTGGCCCAAATTTATTTGGTTATCATTTTAGTAAAAAAAATAACCCAAATTAATTTATAACCAAAAATTATAATTTTTAAACATTTTTTTTACATTTTTATTTAATTTTTTTATATTATTATTTATGTGTTTTTTTTTGTTTTGTTTACACCCATAAAGGCTGTAAAAGCAATCATTTCTCCTTCTGTCTGGCTGCATTCTTGCAGCCATTGAGAACTACTGTGATTGGTCATAGCTTGTCACATGGTACAAGGCTGTTGTGAATAGACTTGTACCATGTGACCTTTCTGATCATTCACAGATTTCACACGTAGTAAGCAATGATGTCAGGAAGTGACATCTTGCTTACTACTCTGCATGTGATCACTGATTGGCCAATCAGTGGTCACATGACCGGGACCTCGCACAGAGGTCCCGTATGACGATCGGTGTTCCACTGTGTCCGGAGGACACAGCGGGCACTGGATCGCGGTGCTGAGCACTCTCAGGGAGCGCGCACAAGCAAGGGGCGGGGAGGCCATTTATAAACGGCCACCCGACCCTGCACTGCCACCGTCCGGCTGTTTATATACAACGGCCGGACGGAAGGTGGTTAATACAAGAGAGGATTTTGCTCGCTTTAAAAACCGCAGCTTGGCATTGCATGCCATTATTAAGCTTGTGATCTACCAGAACCCCCAGATCCTTCTCCACCATTGATTCCCCCAGTTATACCCCCCTAGTATGTATTGCGACAGGAGTCACTTTTAGGTGGGGAGACCCCTGTCTCAGCTCCCCATATTCCTATTATGTGTAAGTCACCCTGTGCCTATGGTGATCTCTCTTAATATTGGGGTGGGGGGGTTGTTGATTGTTTAATGCCATGTGGTTGCATCCCATTGTTGTATTATGTGTCTTTCTCTGGAGCAAACTATTATGGGATGTATGTGTTTATGTGTATTGGCTTGGTGGGTGGTGTCTCCAGCAGCCCTCCCTCCTGATGGGACTGCAGGGGCAGACTGACCATTTGGAA